ATCAAATATGCACTGCCATACAACAAAAGTTCGCAGAAACAACTGGGCGCTCATTTGTCAAGCCTTTTAAATGACGAAAAAAATTGGGCTGATTCACTTCATTTCTTATCGCGAAAGGGCATCAATCAAGTGAACAAACCAACACAACAGTTGTTCATAATTTTTTTGGATGAGTCAACTCAAACTTGAGAAGACGTGATTTGATATAAGAAAATAAAATGCATGAAATGCTTCTGAGTGACGCAAGCTTCCAACATTACTGGCACAACTAGCTAGAAGATAACATTTCTCTTCTAAATTCTTGTCATGGTTTGAACAAGTCAGTTCATGCTCGAGGAGACGTTTTGTTAATAGCTTTTTAGCTTGAAACGAGTTTTGCCGCAAGAATTTGTCTAATTCTTACAAGAAATTTTATGTAAAAGTCATTTTAACCCCAGAAAGTATGTTTGAAATGTCTAACGTCTTTAGATCCATGTACACAAAGAAAAGTTAGCTTTTTGCAAGCGAGAATCAAAGATGACAAAGACATCTTTTGAAATTTCATAATAGTTCGAAAGATTCATATATACCTTCTTAAAAAAGCTCCAGAAAAGGCTACTGGCTAGAGATCGCGTTTCTAAGAAATTACCTTCATCTCTTGCAAAGTCCTCTAATTTGTTCCACTCACTGAACATGACGGGCGTTAATTGTGACTCTAATGGGTTTGTTAAGTAACTGGGTTATAGATGAGCACTCCCTTGGTTACAGGTACCTGTTGTTATAAGCGTTCAAGGAGCTGTATTTGAGTAAATTACGCTTACCAACACTTTTGCCGTGATGGACAGCGCAAAAAGAAAAAAAATGAATGATCATGTGTATCCAGTCTTTTAAAACCTTACCTCAGTTAACTTAGCCACTCAAAAGACATTCATAATTTATCGACTATCTGATTGATGCCCGAAATGATGACACTGCAAATTAAACACTTAAAATGCATGACATCTTTTAAAGAGGAGAGAAGTCAGTAATGAGAAAGCGTTCCTTTAACAAACGAGCAAACCTTTACGGTTAGCAGTAAAGGTTGACAAGCATTTGTAGCTAAGAAAGTCTAAAAACATTTCGTTATGATAGGCTTTTATAATATAATTTTGCCGTAGCCTTCCATACAGTTCAGTTCTATGCGATAAAACAATACCAACTGGAGTTCACTGTATTGGTAGCTTCCACTTCCTGTTGGGGGAAGGAAACGGATGTTCTTTTTCGATCTGTGCTGTGGGTTCCGAACCCTTTCCTTTTTAAGGAACAGGCTATACCCGCTTTTACTTTCTACATATCAATGGCAGATTCCCTTTACCTTTCTACATATAACTTCTTAAAATCCCTTCCGTTTCATATATCGACGTACCGAATGGGAACCTTTATTCCGTGGGAGCATCCCGTCTGGAAAAGAATGGGAAGTACCCCTTCCCCCGAGGGTCTGATTGAGTCGTCTTGGCACACTCCTAAAATTACAGGTACTGGTCACTTAGCCCTAATGGAAAACGAAGTAGCACGAGCAATTATTTGCCTACTTGTTCTTCGCTACAATGCACTAAAAACTTTAAAGTTTATTTTAAGTCCATTAACCAACGTAATACACGTTAATAATTAATCGGGTGAGTCAATTAAAGTTAGACCAGAGTAGATGTCATTAACCACAAGAACGCCATTACAGGTCAGTCAGTTTGCCGAGAGGGGAACATTTCAGTCGCAAGTGAACAGGCGTACGTGTCGATAACAATGAAGTTTGTTTTGATTTTCTGCCTCGTTTTTTGGATGATGTGTTCCATTGATGCAAAACACCACAGTAAGTTGTTTTTATGGAAGTTTGAACGTGTGGCGTCAAAAACATCTGATCTACTTTAACTAAATTTACATTCATTTTTGTAATCCTCCCAAAATGCGAACTCTTCAAAGAGTGCGTCAGCGTTGTTCTGGATTTATCCCGAAAATTATACGATAAAATTTTCCAATTTGTGTTTCTGATTTTTTGCGATGTAAGAATTACAGTCGTAACTGTAGAGAAACACAATACGCGATCTTATTCTAAGATCAATCACCCAAGAAATAACAAATTTCTTTTATTGTCAAAAGGTCTCTTTAGAGGTTGAAATGATATCACAGACAATCACAGACATGTTAACAAGCGTGATATGTTGATTACCTGACTGTTTTTTTTTTCCGTTTTATCCTGTAACTTTTTTCTATGATCGAAGGCCACATGATCATGTTCCCAGATCAAAAGATTACCGGTTACTAATATCTTTTTAGTTCAAGGAAAAGCATCGTAGCCTGGGGCCTCCGCTCGTTACACTACGGCCTTAAAAAACGGCTTTTTTACCGGCAGAGTTATCTTTATAAGCAAATATCCTTCGAATCGGTTTTGGGTAACCAATTTTACAAGTACAATAGGCACTAACAACCTGGTCTGAGAATTTAGATGATGGTTGTCACGGTGAATAAGATAAAGTGTATTTTTAAGGTGATTTATCTAGATTCAGTGGGTTATTTTGTTGTTTCGCGTGCTAATGCGAAATGATTGAGAGCTCCAGCGCATGCTCCAGCCAGGCGAATTTGGGCATGTTTTCAAACGGTAAGGTCGCTCACTGGGCAAGACGCTTTATCTTCAGTGTACCTCTCTACATCCTAAAACTCATCATCGGTACTTCTTTACATTCTCTGAAAATGAAATTAATAACAATGAATTAAAAAAATACCCAGATCAGTTGGGACCCGTTTCTCGAAAGTCCCGGTAACTTAACGGGCCCGTAAAGCTGTTCTGATCTCATTCAAAATGGCGATTTTAAAATTTTTTAATATGATGCAATAAAACCATCAGCTTAAGAAACAAAAGGGACTAATTTGTGTGCTAGAACCTGCTTTTCTATCCTTTAAATTTTGAATTTAAAATATGGCATCGGGCCCGTTAAATTAACGGGACTTTCGAGAAACGGGCCCCTAGACTTCAACTAGACAGGATCAGTACTTCACTAAGAAGTTGTGGACTGTCAGTTGAAACTATTGACGGATTGTACAAATAACTGTTTTCTCTTAATTATTTAATCTATCTTGCATATTGTCTTTCTTTAAAGAATCAAAGTCACATGGCAAATCGGGACATCACAGATCCAGTTCAGTGGAAGAAACCTCGAAAAAAGGTAAATGCACAGATCAGTGGCTAGAGAACCGAAATGCCCAATTATGTCGTTCTCGATCCATAGGAGGATCCTTGATGGCGACTTGTTTCTGACCGTTGACTTGTAACAAACAAACAATCCATCGCGGTTCCCATTCAGCAGGTTCTCTGATTGCGAGCTTTAAGTTATGCACAGGTGGCAGATGAAACCGGTGGAAGAACATTTAAGTGCCTCATGAGAAGAAATGAAGTGGAGCGACTGTTACACTTGAGCCGATTTGGCCTTGAATCATATTTTGACCAAATCATAGATAAAAAAAAATTTTCGTCGTTTTTCTTGCTGAAGATGGAACACTTTCTTAACATAGGGGACTAGTCGTTATAGATCGCCGGGAGGGGGGAAGGGTGTTGGGGAATAATATGGTTTTCAGGGGGATCGGAGGGGGTTCAGTCGTCACCAATAACAGAGTGCAAAGGTGAACTACAGAAAACTGCTGAAACGATCGGTCCTTAAACTTTTGCCTCTCAAATTTTCTATACTGCCAATCGAGAGCAGTGAAGCTCGCGGGTTTTGAGTTTACAAGCGATTGGTGCGTGTGTGTGTGGGCCACGATTTGCGAGGAATCTACGAGGGTCCTTGAACAGCTCTCTCACGCTCGCATAACTCGACGGGTCGAATCTCGCAGAATACGCCGCTCTTGTGAACATGTTCGTACGCTAAAGCCGGCCTATCTTGCGTACAAATTCTCTTGAGCTTAGAGATCCTACCAGAGCCGGTCTGGTTTTGAATCTTCACAGGAACACAGTTTGTATTCTGGCTACACTCAGACGAGACAATGTAAAAAGTTTATGTAAGATGAGTCAGCCAGTCTTGTTGTATACGCATTCTACTACAATCTGCAATGCACTGCATGTATTCACTGTGCTACGCCAGAAACGAGAAAAACACTAAAAAAAAAAAAAACACTCCTTAGAAGTGGCCAAAAAATATGTGGAAACGTAATCCTCATCTAATGCATCGGCACAATACCTCGAGGAAGGGGTAACTAACCCAGTTACACTACTAATCACATTGAAAAATCAATGAATATAGTGATGTTTCACAGAGAGGTGTAAAACAAGATAACATCAAATAAGAAAAAAGAAAGTGATCAGACCTAAGACTGACCGACCTAGTATTACTTAATTTTCCCCCGAAACGCTTAAATAATCCGAAACTACCATGAGGCCACGCGCACCGCTTCAACGTGCCATCAGAATATTAATTTCTGACTAATTCGTTCCCATGTCACTCAAACGTCAGAATATACATTATTTATTACATTCCCGGGACCAATGTTTATCGCCTTTCTCTACGTTAGCGTTTTCCGGAGCATACTAATTGTCTTTGTTGCGATATTAGACCGACCAGCTAGCCGTCACGCTATTTTCGCGGGTGGAGATTCTGGAGAAAGTGGCGAATCGGGCGAGTCTGGCAATGGGAAAGCTGCAGATAGTGGTAATTATGGCGAGAGCCAGGAGTCCGCTGATAGCGGAGATTCTAGGGACAGCGGTGACTCTGGTGATAGCGGTGACTCTGGCGATGGCGGTGACTCTGGTGACAGCGGTGATTCTGGCGATAGTGGGGATCAAGCCAATTCAAAATAAAATGATTACATTTGTTTATAATGGACCATCGATTAGATTTCGAGGGTGTGACTTTCGATACTGACCTTGAGATTAATAAACTTTTAGATAAACGGCTCATCCCATGGTTTGGTAACACTGACTTCCATTTCCCTACACCTACATGAATTCAAGATACTCGCTTTTAAATTTCATTGTCTAGTTCAGCGAGATGAAATTT